GCGGGGGGAGGGGCGGGTGCGCAGGGGGGGGGGAGGGAGGGCGAATGTCCCCACATTGTGATAAAAGCCGACGTTGACTTTGAGGTGAAACTCAAATTTTATAAAAATCTGTGACTGCAATCAAAAAACTAACAATGTCAAAAGGATTGTATTTTGTTTGGTCACTCATGGTTAAGGTTAGGGTTGGGTAGGGGGAAAGGTGTGCATTGTTGGGTTTAGAGTTATGCCCGTTATGTGTGTGTGTGTGTGTGAGGATTAGTTATATATTACACTTTGGGGACCAAATGGCCCCCACAATGTAATGAAAACCTTGTTCTGGGAAGCATTTTTCAGGTCCCCACAAAGATCTGTGACTGCAATGAAATAAGTAAAAATGCCTCATATTTGGTTTGGTTACTTTTGTTTGGATTTGTTTGGTTAAGGTGAGGGCTGGGTAGGGGTTAAGGTCGTTGTGTTGTGATTAGAGTTTTCCCCACAGAAACGAATGGAGTGTGTGTCTGTGTGTTTCATTCCACAGCCCAAAGACGTTTCTAAATTGCCCATAGTTGTGGCCCTGCTTCCTGTGACAGGCTCCAGGATAATGGAAGGCTAGTTCCCGTACAACAACCAGGAACCATTCTGGTATAAACTACTGGAGCCAGGCCCAGATCCTGCTGCCGCTGGGGGGTGTGATCCTCTCGGAATGGCATGCCCTGTTCCACATGGAAACGTCCTGCTGGGCTCTTTAAATCTCCTTAAAGCTCAAAAGCTCACATCCTCTATTTTTATTCCTTTCACTTATTAACACATTACTCAGGACCGACAGGAAAAGCATGATGCAATTTCAGCAGATCCTGCCTTACCGAATTATTTTGATAATTCTCCCATCATTTCTATGTTATGTAAAGGCCCATCCCAAATGAATCACCAGCAAAAAAAGACACCCAAGTATGATTGAATATCATAAATTTTCGTATTTTTAAATATAGTTTAAGTTTCTTTTCCAAGCAGGGAGGATTCAAGCAGCAGTTCCTCTGGATTAGGATAGGTGAGTAGAATTCACAGAAAAAACAAAGTAGTTGGTAAAGATCTTTAATATGAGATATTTCCTGTTAAAAGCAGCAGGACATATGAATATAAAAGCACATACCTGTAAACTGCCTGTCTGATGTCCCTCTGGCCCCGAACTTGGTCACCAGCTTCCCGTTGGCCTGGAAGATGAAGACGCAGCAGGCCTTGTTGTCGACGGTAATGATGTGGCCATTGCGGTCCACGGCCACGCCCTTGGGACCCATCAGCCGGCCCGCTCCGATTTTATTCTGCGAAGAAAGGGTGCCGTTAACCATGGCCACAAAGCCAAGTCTCATCCCGGATCGTGAGCGGGCGTGTCCTTGCCTGACCTTGAACTTCCCGTCGGACGTGAAGATGCTGACCCATCTGTTATCGTAGTCGGCCACGATGATGTCACCGTTGGTGTCCACGGTGACGCCCGTTGGCCGCTGCAGCTGCCCGGGGGACCGGCCTCTGACCCCAAACCTGAGTTTGAACTGCCCGTCGTTGGAGAACACCTGGGAAAAGTGGCCGTTGTCAGCCGACTCTCACACCATGGTGGCTAATCAGACAAGTATCAGTCATCAAAGGAGACGCTTTGGAGAGCTCTGTGCAGGAAGGCCTTACCTGGATGCACTGGTTGTTACTGTCGGCCACTACCACCCTGCCGTTGCTGGAGGCTGAGATGCCTTGCAGGTTGGTGAATTCCCCCTTATCTCTCCCTCGATTGCCTGCGAGACAGAGCAGAAAGGTCCAGTGGATGGCACCAGGATGGCAAATACACCAAAGAAATCATACAATTTTCAGGGTACTCAGCTCTAAAGTACCCCCCAATACACTGTTTTTACTATCGAGGGTCGGAAGCTTTTACCATTACCAACCGCCCCCTGAATCGACAGCTACACCATCTTAAAAAATAGTGGGGGGGGGGGCGCTCTGACTCAAATAGCCCCAGGGCCTCTGACAGCGTTAACGTGCCTCTGTATGGGCACCTGTTATGGTGCTGAAATGAATATGCAGTTGCACGGCCTGTTCTTTCCGTTCATGGCCCTGCGAGCCGAGCAGAGTGCCGGCAGAGTTCCTTGCTGGCAGAGTCGAGTGGCGTCTCAAGTGGGTTCAAAAGAAATGAAGAAGATATCATTTTGTCCATCTTCTTCTTAGAATAAAACCAGAGTGAGTGTGACAAGACCTGCCCCCCCCCACCCAGTGACATAAAACAACACTCTCACACCAGCACCTGCTTAATCGGTAAGAAGCTCTGACAGGTGATAAATGCTGAAGGAGAATGAGGAGCCATGAGGAAGTATGAGGAGGCATGATAGGGCATGAGGAGGTATGAGAAGGCATAAGGAGCAGGAGGAGACATCAAGGGTCATGAGGAGGCATAAGAAGGTATGAGGAGGCAGGAGGAGCATGAGGAAGTATGAGAAGGTATGAGGAGGCATGACGACTATGAGGAGGCACAGTGTGACTCACCCACTCTGTAGATGAGCTCATCCTCGATGGGATTCTCCTTTTTCTTGCTGGTGCTGTACATGCTGGAGGGCCGGCGCACTGCCTTCTGCCGCACGTGGCCCCCGCCACCGCCGCTGGGAGACTTCACGCGCCTCTTGACGTCGTCAGGCGACGCCGGGATGTCGGAGGGCTTGACAGCGCGCAGCCGGAAGGGGCTACCTCGCACGGGCCGCCCGTACAGCAGCAGCAAGAAGGAGAATTCGCCCTCGGTGCGCAGCGTGTACGCCACTTCATACGTGCCGTTGCGGTTGTCCAGCACGTCGGCCTGCACACGCACTCCATCTGGCCCCTGCAGCTCCACCCGTAATTCTGCATTGCCCGTTCGTACCAATTCGCCATCCTTATCCTTGGTCGTCACGGTGACTGTCACTGGCTGGCCCACCACAGCGTGACGTAGCCCCTCGCCCGCCGCCACGCTGGTGTGGCTCACGGCACTGGTGGTGAGCACCACACCCAGGTTCTGGATAGAGCGCCGTACGCCCTCTGTCTCCACCTGAGGGAGAGGGATGCCTGTAACCATGGCAATGCACCTCTGCCCTTCCCCCAGCCATAGCCAATGAACAACACTGTACCATGCACAGACAGAAGTGTGACATGTACCACGAGCACTGATTGGGAATTTGACTCTTTTCATGGGCATTTCACTTATTTCACTCGCTACTGATTATCGTGATGTCCAAATGCAATCAGGATGATGTGCTATGATATAACCAAAGAATCAAGTTGTATGATACAACCAAAAACTGTTCCTGTATTCACAGAGCAATACTTTGACAGATTACTATAATTGTGACCCGTTCTTGTCACTTTATTGTTTATCAGGCTGGAAGATGGATGGAATGATGATAAACGTGATTGATTCTTGTAGCTCTGGACCTATAAAGAGTTAACGTCTGGTGTCATGTGACCGCGGCGTCTCACCACGGAGGCCAGGTGGGCGTTCTCGTGTGGCTGTTCCGGGAAGTCGTGCCGGGCCAAGGCGCTGACCCGCTCGCTCATCTGCTTCTGCACCAGCAGCACTTCAGTGGCGCTGCCGTGACTCAGCGCCTGCTCCGTGAAGCTGCAGCTGCTCTGGATGTGCTCCTTCCCCTGAAGCAGTGAGGCCAGCTGAGCCTGTAGCACCTGCGGGGGCCGGGGGGGGCACACAATCAACACGCAGGCTTAACAGACTGCCGAAAATGCTGTGATATTATTTCAGTGTTTCAGGACACTCTCCAGAACATAAATTTGCATCTGCACCATTAAGTTAACTTGAGAAGATCTGCATCTTTCATCTTAATTTGTGTGGAAAATATACATTAATATTATGTGCATAATTTTAAATAATTCTAAATAAAAGTGAGCGCCTACAAAATGGCCAAATCGAAACATCCTTACTTTTTCAAACAGCTTTTTCTGGTGAGGTAATAATATATTAATTTTAGAAATAGAATATTAGACAAGAAATTGATCATCAGTGGTACGCTTGTGCACTTATGAGTGTAGGATTACACCTGTAATGAGATTGGGTGATGTCAGAACTGGTGCATTGTGGGAGGGCACCATGGGGCTGACCTTCTGCTTGGTGCTGCACATGCTCTCCAGGTCGGTGACGAGCGCCGTCCTGCGCAGCTGTAACGCCCGCTCCAGCTCAGCGAAGCTGCTGTTGATCTCACTCACGGCCTCGTTCTTGCGCTCCGTCAGCTGCTTGGAGATCTCGCTCACCAGCTCGATGGCCGCCGTCAACTGGGGGAGCCTGGCGGGGGGCGGGGACGGACGGAGCAGACATGTGACTAGCTGTCACATGGCACATGCATGGCACAGCTCACGTTAAGCCTGGAGTCCGTCACCATCTGACAGCGCCGACTAATGAGTCCGATTCATCTTGACAGGTAATTACTGCAAGAGCTGTAGCTTAAAAGCAGTGATCTCAAGCAATCTAGAACATTCCTTTCTTCATATGACCTCTGTAATTTAATGATAATGGTCCATGTATCAACTGCAGTAATAAACCCTGACTCAGTGACTCGACAGAAAGGCCGGGGTGGAATGGTGCGGCGTGGCGGCTGAGTGGACCTGTTACGGATGGCGTCCAGCTGCTCCTTGAGTGCGGCCTTGTGCTGCTCCAGCACGTCCCTCAGGGGCACCGTCTCGTGCTCCCTGTGCTCCCCCTCCGTGCACTCCAGGCACATCGCCGTCTCACATGACTCACAGTAGAACTCCATCACCTGCGGAAGGAGCCAGAGAGCAGGCACAGAGGCTGAAATCCAGAAAGCGACAAGGGTCCTGAGGCTACCAACATTTGAGATAGTAATACATCTGTATCTGTGCTCTCTGTGAATCACACAGCATGACAGCCAGCCGACTGTACTGTCTCTGTATGTTTTATGGTCTGACATCCCATAAAAAGGGGTCAGATTTGCCCTCATGGTTAAGACAGAGATGGACCTGCCCTAGGGATCGGGGCAGAACACAGCCTACCTTGCCCTCGTGGTTAAGACAAAGACGGACCTGCCCTAGGGATTGTGCCAGGACAGGGCCTACCTTGACCTTATAGTTACGACAGAGATGGATCTGCCCTTGGGATTGGGCCAGGACACGGCCTACCTTGCCCTTTGTAGTTAAGACAGAGTTGGATCTGCCCTTGGGATTAGGCCAGGATGCGGCCTACCTTGCCCTTATAGTTAAGACAGAGATGGACCTGCCCTAGGGATCGGGCCAGGTCATGGCCTACCTTGCCCTTATAGTTAAGACAGAGATGGACCTGCCCTATGGATTGGGCCAGGACGCGGCCTAACTTGCCCATATAGTTAAGACAGAGATGGACCTGCCCTATGGATTGGGCCAGGACGCGGCCTAACTTGCCCGTATAGTTAAGACAGAGATGGACCAGCCCTATGGATTGGGCCAGGACGCAGCCTAACTTGCCCTTATAGTTAAGACAGAGATGGACCTGCCCTAGGGATTGGGCCAGGATGCGGCCTAACTTGCCCATATAGTTAAGACAGAGATGGACCAGCCCTATGGATTGGGCCAGGATGCGGCCTACCTTGCCCTCGTGGTTGGGGCAGCACAGGGGCTTGCCGGCAGCGGCAGCACTGACTGACTCCAGCACGCTGCAGGCCTCAGGCCGTGAGCACTCTGGGTCCCGCTGGAGCACCTCCATCAGGTTGGTGATGAAGAAGTTGTTCTGCAGGGCTGCTACACCCTTCTCGGGCAGGATGGAGGTCTGCCGGCAGACGGGGCAGGACAGCGTCAGGGACTGTGGGGGGATGTAGTTCTGTAGGCAGCTGAAGGGGCACAGGGACAGAAAGACAGACATTGATGTACAAATTTGGGAGTTAAACCAAGAGCATCAATAAACACTTAGTGCCTGTTAATACCCATTGTTTTTATGGCTTATTATGAATTAATTATGAGTTTTAAGGCCGCCAAGTGAGTTTCTTGGATTGCTTTTTCATCTGGCTCAGTGAGAGGAACGGAAAAGTCTTTTGTGTATTACGGATTTTTCCGTGACCATATTATAGTTAAGCCGGAGTACATCTACCATGCCTCTGCATTCATCATTATTCACTAGCCATTGTTGAACTAGATCACTAGATGCTTAATGCAGCACATTTTCAAACTTCAGTTGCAGCAAAGTGCTTCTGAAAGCTAGAAGGGTGGGGGTTGGAATCTGAGGTAATGTCTTCATGAGGTAGGGCTTAGAGTGAGCCCATGGTTTAATAATGCCCTTGAATAAACATGATTAAGAAACATGACTATTGGGGGGGTTGTATTAGCTGGTTTTGGTTTATTGGGGGGGCTACAACCCGCCCCATTCCCCCCGTAATTTACGCCCCGTGGTCTATCATCAAACAAACCCGAGACTCGACGGATGAGGTGTATGCGTCCTAGTGCGATGACGCTGGATAAGGAGTGACTTTGAGTACCAGGGATGCGTTTGGGGGCCGGAGACAAAGAGATCGCTCACCGCTCACAGAAGGTATGCAGGCAGGGTAACACCTTGGGGTTGTGGTAGTGGTCCAGGCAGATGCTACACACCAGGAACTGCTTGTCGATTTGGCGAACCACAGGACTGCTGCTGGCGGACTCGCGCTTCTCCATAGCGACCGGCATCCAGGAGGCGAGCCAGCACTAAATCCTGCAACAGGAAGGAACATGGACACCACAACCTTATCTCCTTGACCAAAGGCAACATCCCAATGTGCAGAAGCAGAGTTACTTGGGCTTGGGGTGCTGTCATTTCCCTCAGCTGCTAGATGATTTTTCTACCTAATGGCCATAATCTTAGTTAAGCAGGAGTGTGGGGGATTTATACGTCCAGTGGTTCAATTTGGAGTATGGAGTGTGTGTGTACTCTTGGTGTGTGAACACACTTCCTACTGCAGTCCAAAAGGTGTAGTTTACATTATGTACACTTTTACCCAAAGCGTAATACAACTGTAAGTGAGGTCAGATGATTGATGGAGCAACTGGGGCCCAATTGTGAAATCACTGACCCAGCCGCAGGATTTGAACCAGTAACCTACTGAAGACGACTACAGAGTCCTACCCTGCTGATCCACACCCTCCCCCCAAAGTGCTGAATTGCTGACACTAATTAGCCCATGATGAGTGAGTGTCCAACAACACACTGGCATCCTGTGTGACGTACAGACTCACTTCAACTATCTATTAGACAACTAGTAATAAATACATATAAGACTCTCACCAATGTAGCTACATTGCAGTGTAACCATGGGTGTCACCATCTCAGTGACAGTAACCATAGTGAGTCTGACCATTATTAATAATGTCGTCCTAATCATGAGCACAACAACCACCAGCTAGTATCCTGGAAAGGGTATCGGTCCATCTATTTTTAGATAATTCAAATACTAAAATTGCTTATACATAGATACACCTGTGTGGCGCAATAAATGCAGTCAGTGAGGCGTAATCTCTCTGCGACCGTTTGAGTGATGTGAATGAATCTAATGCGAAACATGGCACAGAAATTTAACTTGCTCCAGGGAGCCTTCTAGAGAAGAATTCAAAAGGATATCTTCTATATAAGACTACAGCAAAAATAAATCTAAGAGTATTAATCATATAAAGCAGGTTTTCTGAATGAAATGGAATATGTCGAAATAAAAATAGAGATATTTTTGGTACAGCAGCTGTTTCATTGCATCGTATTGTTTTCCTGGGAGAAGAGTTTTGATTTACGTCCTTCTCACGTCGATATGTCCCGGCCAGCCGCAGCAGCGTTCGATTCCCACCGTTACTACTTGCAAATTAATTTGCAGCTCTCTGCGCCTCCGTTCTGGCACAGGCGACTTTATGTACAGCGGAGCTAAATAAATAAATTTCATGAGACATCCCGCAGGACGCGAGTCCAAGAAATGCTAATTAACGGCAGAAACAGGGGAGTCAAGCTGTGAATGAATCACAGAGTCGCAAAGGAAGTAAAAGGGGGGGGCGGGGCGCCTGTCGGACTAGACATCTTACTTACTAGCCAATAGTGCAGGATTTCAGACACAACCCTGTCGTTACGTATCGCTAATATTTTTATGAAATAATTTTAATCCATAAATTTTTAATGCGACCGTATTGACGAGTGTTCTTCATCTGATGCTCCTTTGAAAATAATAATAATAATAATAATCTGACTCAAAATTTCCCAGCCGGTCTGCGCGTCCCGACGTCACTAAGTCACCACATTTGTCGCGTCATGCCACGACACCTGCTGTTACTGTGAAAGGCAAACGTGACACAGGACAAAGTGTATGGAGAAACACATGTTTGTTTTGTGCTGTACGTCCCCAAGATACTTGCATCTCACGGATTTCTGTTTATGAGTGTTTTCTCAAAATATGTCCCAAGAAAGACAGCTGAACATACAGTAAATACTCTTTTCTTTAGAGGTATCTTTGTGTATGAAAAAAAACGTTATGTCTTGTGAGGAGAACTTTCCTGATGTCTGTATTTCTGTGACCCAAACGCTCAAGTGGATCAATTCCTGCCCCTCCTTTCAAATTGTCTCCATCTGCCGCATCCACATGGCCGCCGTAAATCTGCAGCGATGGTCACCGTGTGGGGCACTGACTCACATAAAGGCCATGTCTGCCCTGAGGGTTAGTGCACAGTGTTACGGTGGCAAAAGCACCGCGCTCCATTCCCACACCGAGAAACAGCCACGGGACAAACACACACACACACACACAGGTCACTGTACTGGCTTCAGCTTCCAAAACTGAAATATGCATCATCCTTCCATTTAAAAAAACCCTTAAGGTTACAGACCAGTAAAAGCAGCAGCAGCTGAATTTATACATCCATTAATGCATATAAAAATAAAGATAAAAACAAGCAGAATAAACACGTGCAGACAAAAATCAGGCCTGTTTACCTCTGAATTCATTCCCATAAATGCAATGAAGCCAAGAGTCCAACACTCTTAAACTCTCTTAAGGAGAGTATATTAAAATGTACAATATGAATACATTTAAAAAGAGCCTTTGATATTTGAGTTTCCAGTCATGGACCTTAGGATTCCCTCAGAGGAAAAGGTGGATTTCATAACCAGTTAAACTCCGTTCTTCCCAGCCTGGCAGTAACAAGTGAACCTCAGAAATGCCTCATACAATCACCTGAGCTAACGGGCTGGTATTTATCTGCTGACACGAGGGACCAAAGTGACAAGCTCACTTGGCACCCCAGAGAACAAAGCCACCATCTTTGTCCTGTGTGGAGTAGCACACTTTGCAAATAAAGACAATCATTCCATTCTGCAGAACGCATAGATAGATAGATAGATAGATAGATAGACAGACAGACAGATAGATAGATAGATAGCTAGATCATTTTAATCCTGTTTCACTCATTGCAAACACTGACTGACACTCCCAATCATAAGTATATGCCAGTGACTTCTGATTGTTAATATCAGCTAAGTGCAGGATGTCAGCACACAGTTAACAGGATGTCTGCACTTTAAGAATTTTCCTCAGAGCCACACAATTGATATTAAACCTGTCAAACAGCACAGCAGGACGGCCGGCCCTGAATGGCCGCCGGCTGCATATCTGAATGCGGCGAGCGCAGCCTGAGGCGGCAGCCGATTTTCCCGAGCGGCAGGGAGACGGCCGCACCTCCGCTGCAGGGATGGGCGACTCACCGGGTCGGTCACACTGTCACACGCTCGCAAGCTGGCTGCCCTCTGTCACCGCATCACCGGGATTTATAATTCCCAGCGTTGGCATGGCTCCTGGACACCCGATAGCTCTCTGACGGAAACACCGCGTGGCTGGATGGTCGCAGAGGACGCTGTAAAAACACACCCTCCCTCTCTCTCTCTCTCTCTCTCTCTCTCTCTTTTCTCCTTCTGTCACTGGGAAGTGGCGCTCCCTCGTTTAACGGCCGGATTGAAAATAGAAGACAATAGCATCAACTCTGCCTGACGCCTTGACGTTAGAGACACGGCCCGACCCTGCAGGCTCCGGCAGCTGGGACAGGGAGCGGAAAATGAAAAGGAGAGGAAGTATCAAAACGGCACTCCCAGAAATTCTCTGTGGTTCCAACCCACCCCCCCCCCCCCCCCCCCCCCCCCCCCCCCCCCCCCCCAACTTCCCACCTCTCAGATGGCCCAGCAGGGGGAAAAAAAAAAAAACATACACAAACAGGAAAGAGAAGCGGCGACCTCAGTGGATGCCCTGCCGGCGCATGGGGAGATGTAGTCGGAAAAATTAGGGAAAAAACAATCACGTGGCCTCTCCCTGGCGTGGGAGCGAGCGGGCCGCAGCGGGCTGGAGCAGAACAATGGCTCGCTGATGCAGCATGGGGAGTATGCTGGCCTCAATCCCCGCGCCCTCACACACACACAGGCACATGTAAACACAGGGAGCAGAGGCGAGCTTCACCCACGGCGCAGGTTCACTTACACAGCAGCTGCCTCGGGGGACCTTGCAGACGGCCCTCAGTGTTGTATCCTGCCCAGAGATTGCGGGGCCCTGTGACTGCAGATTCTTTTCAATGCACACCCCCCCACACCCAGTCCCCAGCTCCCCCTCCTTCCTCCTGTATGTCTCCCTTTCTCTTCTCCCCCAGCTGCCCCCCCTCCCATGCAGGGCCCCGAATGGGAACAGCTGAACAGTGACAACAGGCGAGAGTCTGGTCTCTCAGGCCCCACCCCTTTCTGTGCTCTCCTCCCACACAGGCCTCACGGGGGCCCCTCCTCAGCCCCTCCCACCAGCCGTGCTGCAATAAGCTGAGAGAGGGTCTGCCACTTTAAACGCATGGAATGCCTCGGCGCTCACTAATGCACGCTGACCGAGGGGGAAGCGCAGCCAGGGGGGAGGAGACAGACACAGAGCAGATAAAGAGGAGCTATCAGCCAAGCACACTCTGTTAGACACGGAGGGGGCGCCCAGTGCATTTCCTCTGCGAGAAAAATCAATGCATGCATGCATTTAAATCTGAAGATTTATAGCATGCAAAGGAAAATCAAAATAGCAAAATCATCTAGGGTCCCCTGCACTTTGTGGGCTGCTGGATTGACATCAGGTAAATAGTGAGTATGCTCTGGATTGCTAGTAAGCAAAATAGATGGATAGTGTCACGACCAGTTAAAATAGGTGTATTAACTTCCACAAGAAAAGCAGTCTGAAATAGGGCACCCTGAGCCGGACCGTGCATCCAGAGCATCAGCTTTTCTGCCTGAAATTCCCACGGACCATTGGTCAGGAAACAGGAAATGAATGGGACTAGGATGGACAGCTCCAGGACAAGGAGAAGCTGTCAGAATTTCAGCTAACCAAGGTACCGGCCCACAGAACCACAAATCCGGTGACGAGATTCCACACAATCGGACCGAAATCTGAAAATACCGACAGACTAAACCCAAGATCACAAACCTGGAACCGAGACTCCAAAGCAGAAAGAATACTGAGGCCTGAACAATGCTCACTGCCCAGTCTAAACAGCCAGCTACCTCCAGTTCAGAGCAAGGCCGCAGCACAGCCGTGATAGAGGTCACCCAGAACAGTGCCATCTAGTGGCTATAACTGACTTACAGTTCAGTTTATCCAACTATAGTGACATACGCATAGTAAGTATTTTTATTTCAGCACATCGCATTATACCAGCATGTTATTTCATTTTCATTCATTAAACATAGATGGGTTCAAATTTAACCCATTCTGAAACTAGATATATGACTTTTTTTACATAAATATACAAGAAAGGGGGAGAATGTTTATGTCACAGGGCAAGACAGTATTGAGTATTGAGTCTTTTTAGTCAGAAGTGTGAAATTACCCATAATGCCCAGGCCTTGCGGTCAGATTTCAGGTGTTGTCCTTCCCCAGCTCCAAACACTGGGGTCTTTTCTTTTGATAACACCACCTTTTTGCAAATTAAAATCCACCGTCTGCCCTCCCATGCCCAGCCATTCAGAGCAAGTCTTTGTACTAACAGCAAGCACTAAAACACAAAAGTTAGACAAGATTTTCCATCTGGGATTTACTTCATTGTCACCCCATGCCACTCTTTCTTGAAACTCCATTCTCAGTCTATGTTGTTCCCTGACCTGAAAAGCCAGCTGCGTGTCACTGATCTCTAATGCTGCGTTCCATTTACTTTGGAGGTCAGAACTCGGAACTGGCAATGACGTTACACACAAATTAACCGTGTTCCAGTACAGCAAGTCAGAAAGCCACTTAGCAATACCAGGGACCTGTTTCAAAAAGTCGGATTTTTTGCTTAGCCGGATAACTTGTCGGATTTAATTTACCCAAGTTTAAATGACCTTTATCTTAGTTCACTTACATTTATCCCAGGCTACCTTAAATCTGATAGGTTATCCAACTCAGCAAGAAGTCCTGCTTTCTGAAACAGGCCCCAGTTCTATCCAGGTTCATTGTGAGCTATCGTTAGCAATTCCATCTGATAACACATTACGTACTATTTTGTGCATAATACCACTGTAGTTCACAGATAGCAGTTGGACAGTCCTGTGTGTATGACCGATTTAATGAGCCACACATAAAACATAAGTACTATAAACAGCATAAAACAGCATTTACTTCTATTGATAAAGGGTGCAGCCATCTTGAACTCTGAGGTTGGGGTTGTGTGGATTCCTCCAACTTCACAAGTCAGAATTCTGACTCCAGAGGGTGGTTCAGTTGCGAGTTCAAATGGAACGCAGCATAAGAAGATTCCTAAGCCCCACCTCCCGCCGCTTCTCTGATTGGCTAGTGTCGCTGATCTATGAGGAGTTCCCTAAGCCCCACCTCTCGACCCTTGTCTGAGTGGCCAGTACTGCTGATATTCCCTAAGCCCCGCCTCCTGCCACTCCTCTGAATGGCTAGGCAGTCCCAGGCTCATCTTAGAGGCGGATTCATACCCATAACATAATTTAATATCTATTTTTTATCCCATGATTTGTTTCCAAGGCAGACAGTAATGTGTGGAAATAATTCATTCCACTGTCTTGAGAATCCATTTTAATCTGCCATGGAAAAGAAATTATTTTTTCTAGTCTACATGTGCACAGTGAATAGAGCTGCACAACGGATAAAACTTTAAATCTAATTCCATTTCTATTTTTAATGAGAGACAACCATTTAGCAGTCACTAGGATGTATTGCATCCAGGTTTTTCACTGCCTTAGACAACCTAACCCAGGCAGACATGTCAAACATTGATTTTTCTATGCAAAGCTCAGTATTTACTATCACCACAAAAGGCTTTTAAAGGCCCCCTTTACAGTTCACTTCAAAAGGTGGGTTTAATGAGGACCAGAAAAATCACAAGCAGCCAGGACTGCAGAACCGTTTGTTAGCTAGAAAGAGACATCACTGTACAAATCTCAGCAATGCCAAAAAACCCACGAGACCCTCTGCAGAAATAGGGGGGTGGGGGTGATTCAAATTCAGCTCATGGAATGCTGCTGCACCACGTTCTGGCCAATGAATAATTTAGACCCGTTGTTGGTTCGGAGGGTGTCACGCCTACGGCTAGCTTGGAAGGAGAACGCCAGGTCTAGGTATGAGAAGCTAAATGTTAAATTGACGCCATATGATGCAGGTTGGGGGCTAAGCCACACCCACAGATGTTCCACACATGTACCTCTCTGTCCCAGAGGTGTAGAAATAGGGCTCAAGAATGTCTAGAAGACAAGCCACAGAAAAACAATTAATACAATACAACGGTTCTCCATGACAACCGCCTTTCATGCCCTTCTAGGCACATACCACTGCAATTAAACAAGTATGATCATTAATAGGTAGCAATGCAATCTCATCTCCAGGTTTGGGAGTTTGACTTTTGCCCCTGGACGTTCTCCCTGTGTTTCCTCCAAGTATTGCAGCTTCATACTGCAGGTCGTATCACATGCTGTCGCACCTCAATCTTAGGCCTCTGCTCCCAGAACAGCAACTACGCGCTCTGAGGTGCCCCAGGTTCAGACAAAGGAAGACCCTGAATTCCTAAATATCAGAAAAACGCTCCTACATGAAACGAAAAGAATGACCATTAGAAAACAGCCCTTTGTGATATGTCAAACTCAGAGGTGGACAGTTCAGGCCCAGAAAGTAAAAATCCAGACCAAGATTTTGTTCCAACTAACCAGTTAAGTACCCTGTGACTGTAACTCTTTATACTCAACTGGTTGGTTGAAACAAAATCTTGGTCTGGATTTTTACTTTCTGGACCTGAATTATCCATCACTAGTCAAACTACATGGAACGTCTCACTCTGGGAAAACCTCCAGAGTCTCCCACTCAGTCCAGGAGCCAAAACTCCAACAATCCTAGGAAAGCAGCCCCACAGGATGAGCGCGGGGACAGTGACAGCTTCCCAGGCTCCACGCTGCTCTGTCACCCTCCCACCCCCTTTCCTATTATTTCCACCCATTGTTTCAAATAAGAGCAGAAAACAGTAGCTCCCTATTTGTGACTGAACAGGATGAGGGAGCATTTCTTAGAGAATATCATACACACCCCATCGCTTCTGGTCAGGAGTGTCACCTTCCCACCAAAATCTGAACATACCTAGGCTTACCCAGAATGCAGTGTGTGGGAGCAGACCTGCTGTCTCATGGAGTTATCCTGGGCCGGATGGGGGGGGGGCATGCGTGACATGGGGGACTGGCTAAAGTTACTTTGTCCTGAGCCTGGGAATCATGCGTGGCAGACCGGTATAGGAGTGTCTCTTCTTTAGCATAACTGAGATCGTGTGACAAAAAACAACAACATTGTGAAACACGATAAGCCCTCCTGGGGCAGAGAACATCTCTCCAGGGCTCTGGAGACGCAGGCTGCCATGGAGATCAGGCGCAGGTTACCTGATGCTCGTACCCTAACCGAGGCCCAGGGGAGGGTGTGACAGAGCAGGCGGGCTGAGCTACAGCTACCATGTGCTATTCCAGCAGCCCGTCTTCCTGTGATGTCATAGTTAAGTAGGTGATAAGTAGCCGGTTGCTAGGTTGCAAGAAAACACGCACAGGAACATATATTAATATTTCATATTCATTGATTTAGATGCCGTCAGGTCAAACTCCTGCTGATAGACAGACAGCATTCCTCTAGAGCTCCAGTCTACGAATTTGTCCTAATGCTATGAAATCAACCAAAATTCATTTAATTCCAAAATTCATTACTAATAATTTATGACACTTAATTCAAAACAGTACATTTTAATTCCATTGACATATTAAGTCAAGAATCCAAATGTTGAGGCACTTTCAGCTGCCTTGAAAAGCTTGGTATCTTAGGGGTTATAGTTTTATTGGGGTAATTGGTGGGACTTTTTTTTATCAAATCGCATAAAGAACACATGTGACCATACAAACAGCAAACATGCATTCCTGAATAAGCAGAAACAGGTTTATATAAAATACTATTATAATTGGAATGAATTTTTTTAAGCATTTAACAATATAGCTGATTTCAATAATTGA